TATATAAAAGCAAAAGTAACCATTATAGTGTGATTAGTGTTGCTATTGTTAATTAAACTAAAACTAATTTTCGTTCATTGAAATGCTAAAATAAAATACAATATAAATATTATATAATATATTATATTATTGGTAACTAACTGAAATAAGTATGTTTAAGTTGAAATAGTAAAACTAATAAAAATTAAACTGACACAAAAACAAATGAAAGCTAAATAGAAATATAATATTTAAAAAAAAATGTAAGGAAAAATGCACATAAAATTACTAAAACTTAAACTAAAATTAAAATGAAAACTGAAAATATTAATAAATACTATAATAGTATGTATGCATAATACTAAAATAACACTAGGTGCCATACTCTGTTTGCAGGCATACAGTATCACCCATGATTAATTTATTCTAATTTCATCTCAGTAATAAAAATAAATTAATAAGTTATATTTGACAGGTCACGTAATCTCAACAAGGCGGTCACAATGGGGTGGTCCCATCCTTATCTAGAATAAAACAGTTTTTCTTCACCAATGATCAGCCTGGACTCCTCATTTTATTTGAATTTACATCAATTATTATGTGTATAAATCATTTTCAATCATTGTTTATTTTAAGATTTTTTGAGTAGTCCTTCCAAAATCAGTTTTCTTCTTTATGATGATCCCAACTTGAAGAGTTTTGCATTTTTAGTAATAAACTAGTGCAGCAAATAGCATATTTTTATAAACATAAAACCATCAGAACAGTAAGAGTTTATGGCCACACTACACTAATTCTTTTATCTGTATGTGTTTCTCACCAGTGGGTCGGCATCACTGTCACTCTGAGTACTCTGTTTGTTAAGGCCCTCTCTGGAGGCAGAGTATCCATCGAAGCCCACGTCCTCTGGGCGGAGCTGCAGCAAAGCTGGCCAATCAGGGTGTTGATGAGAAGCTGCCCATGGAAAAGTTTCCAGAACCCACAGCGCAGGATCCTCCCATGCAGCTCTGCGGCCGTATAGCTAAAAAAATTAATCAAACAAAACCAACAAATAAACACTGAATCAAAAGTTTGTTCAAAATACTGAGAGATACTGAGAGATACGTAGAAGGACGAAAGAACTATGGGTTTTGATAATGGACTTGTGCAAGATCACTTTTACAATGAAACTAAATCATTTAAAAAGATATCAGTGAAAAAGGTCGATTTTACTATAAAAGAGGGCAAATGTTACCTGTAAGCCTTCTCTCACAGCCTCCAGCATGTAGGGGATGATGGAATAATTCCACAGGTCAGTGAACCAAACACGAGAACCGTCCACATCCATCGGACATGACAGAAACAAACGTGGACCTGGATGAGGAGACATGAGGCTCAAATTCAACACTTGTAGAGCATATTAGTAACACTTGGAAGGGTCTGTTAATATCTGGCTTCAGTACAGTGGTTTATCTCCGTACCAATGGTCACATCAGAGGAGCTGTGGGCCTCCAGGAAGCGGTT